GCTGAGCCTGCGTGTCCGGAGCCTGTGCTCCGCAAGGGGAGAGGCCACAACAGTGAGAGGCCCGCGTACCGCAAAAAAAAAAAAAAAAAAAAAAAAAAACCATTCCCTGGGTTTAAACCATTTGCCCAAAGATGATGTAGGATTTGGGAGATTTTAAATATCAAATATGAGAATGAGTTCATTATAAAACTTTCACTCACCTTGTCTTAAAATAAATCGGTGGTTGACCTTAAGTCAAATTCGCAATCCATGAGAATTTAAACGTAGGAGATTGTTCCATTGAATCTTTAAATTTTAAAGTTTTTAAGTTGCTAAATTTTTAACCATACTTAGGATGAAATAGCTCTCATTTTTTACATTCTGTTTAATGCAAATATAAAGTGTTCAAAACTGACCTAGAGTTTTTCATTAGCGTTAGCCTCTCCATGGAAATTATAAAAAAACTAAAGTAGTAACACCGACTTTGGTGAATAACAAAGGTGATTTCTTTAGTGACACGAGCATGTGCTGTACTTATGTATATATTACATTTTTTTTAATTGAGTTACACTTCACCTTATTAGATAGTATAGTTAATGTATTTTTCAGAGATACATAAAATCCAGTTTGTGGAATTAAAACATGGGTTTAAAAGTTGAAAAATAAAGGTGGAGAACAAAATCACAAAAAAGACTAAGAATGCCTAATGTAATAATCTAGACGCTTGCCATGAGGCAGCCACACATTTGGCCTACGCTTTCTAGTAACCAGTGCGAAATGGGAATCTTAATAAGCAATACAGTTCACAGTACTTATAAGACGGATCAGTTGCTTAGGAAAAGCACACTGTTCTTGGCCTTCAAATGAGACAGGAATTTCTCTCAGGACAACTTCCTAAAGAGGACACTATGCAATGTTAGACCAGGCATGTGAAACAGCAGAACAGGGACACATTCTGAACAGGAAGTTGCTGAGATGACTTTGAAGAAGCAGACAAAACATGTTTAGTTGATGACACAGGAGAAGAGCTCTCTGATGATACAGGTATGTGTGTTGTGTGTCTGTATAAACATACACACGTGTGTTTCTCCACACACACGTCTGCACACGTACACCCACAAAGCCACACAGACGCCTACGGCAATCTGCATCCCAGGTACTCTGTGCTGTCCTATTGGGGAATGCTGGAAATCAGCTCACTTTTCATTTGGGGGCTTCCTAGTACAGTAGCTCCTACAGATGAATGAGGGAGAGGAGCAGGAAGCTCCTTCTGCATATTCTGGGCTTTTGAGTCATTTCCATGACACCACACACTTTTTTTTTTTTTTTTTTTGGCGGTACGCGGGCCTCTCACTGTTGTGGCCTCTCCCGTTGCGGAGCACAGGCTCCGGACGCGCAGGCTCAGCGGCCATGGCCCACACGGGCCCAGCCGCTCCACGGCATGTGGGATCTTCCCGGATCGGGGCAGGAACCCGTGTCCCCTGCATCGGCAGGCGGACTCTCAACCACTGCGCCACCAGGGAAGCCCACCACACACTTTTTGATGATGCACATTAAAATTTTTAAAGGAAAAAATTTCTTAGGAAATATATTAATAACAAACTACTTCTGACATGAATCTATATCCTTTGTGGGGGGAGGGAGGGGTCAACTATTAGAGACAGAGGCAGGCACATCTGTGAGTTGAACAACTTTGAGACAGTAGTGGTGTGTGCAGAAGGCTCCTACCTGAGGATTCATTCCTTCTCCCCACCCAGATTTAGACTGCCTGCAACCAGCATTAACACACCTGCACACCAATCTTTGCCCTCAATTGTGTATCAATTTATCAGTAAATAACAGTATATTTAAGGGATGAGTCAGGTACAGTGATACCAAAAACCTAACATTAATATTTGTAGGGTGTATAAGAATAATTGCATCCTCAGGTAATCGGGTGATAGCAAAAGTGAGAGGAATGCTATAATCCATAAGAATATTACAATTGGATAAATTAGAGAAAATGCAAAAATCCGGGAATAGAACTAATTGAGTTTCATACACAATTAATGTACCATTAAGTAATCATTAAAAATGATGGGCTTCCCTGGTGGTGCAGTGGTTGAGAGTCCGCCTGCCGATGCAGGGGACACGGGTTCATGCCCCGGTCCGGGAAGATCCCACATGCCGTGGAGCGGCTGGGCCCGTGGGCCATGGCCACTGAGCCTGCGTGTCCAGAGCCTGCGTGTCCGGAGCCTGTGCTCCTCAACGGGAGAGGCTACAACAGTGAGAGGCCCGCGTACCGCAAAAAAAAGATGATAATGACAGTAAGGCAGTAAGGTAAATATTTGTAATGGAATGTTAAGTTAAAAAGCAAAACCCAGGGGCTTCCCTGGTGGCGCAGTGGTTAAGAATCCGCCTGTGGGACTTCCCTGGTGGCGCAGTGGTTAAGAATCCGCCTGCCAATGCAGGGGACACGGGTTCGAGCCCTGGTCCGGGAAGATCCCACATACCGCCGAGCAGCTAAGCCCGTGAGCCACAACTGCTGAGCCCCTATGCCACAACTACTGAAGCCCATGCGCCTAGAGCCTGTGCTCCGCAGCAAGAGAAGCCACCACAGTGAGAAGCCCACGCACTGCAACAAAGAGTAGCCCCCGCTCACCGCAACTAGAGGAAGTCCGTGTGCAGCAACAAAGACCCAACACAGCCAAAAATAAATTAATTAATTTTAAAAGGAAAAAAAGAAAGAATCCGCCTGCCAGTGCACGGGTTCAGGCCCTGGTCCGGGAAGATCCCATATGCCGCAGAGCAACTAAGCCCAAGCGCTACAACTACAGGGCCTGCGCTCTAGAGCCTGCGAGCCACAACTACTGAGCCCGCGTGCCTAGAGCCCGTGCTGTACAACAGGGGAAGCCACTGCAATGAGAAACCTGCACACCGCAACGGAAGAGTAGCCCCCGCTCGCCACAAGTAGAGAAAGCCCGTGTGCAGCAACGAAGACGCAACGAAGACCCAATGCAACCAGAAATAAACTAAATAAATAAGTAAATAAATAGAAGCAAAACCCAGGATATGAAATAGTTCATGTGCCCTGGTTGCAACTCTGTAAAAACATGCAGAGGCCAGAATCTGGACAGTGCTACCCTGACCATGCTAACAGCTATGTATTAGAGGCAGGCTGGGTTATACGGGTGATTTTTTTCACCCCTCCTCTCTGTTTTTAACTATATTTAATTTTATTTTTGATGACCAGAATTTTTTCAAATGAAATCAAAGATTCTAAAATTGGATTATTAACCATATCTGAATCTGCTTCCCTCCCCTGGCTCCAAATTGCAGTTGAAAGTTCTGAGAAACACTGAGTGAATGAAGAATGTGATCTTGATACTAGCAGCCTGACCTTGAATCAAATGACTATTTTTTTAACATTTTTGAACAAAACACTGTATTTATAATATTCAATATAGTATATTGTTCTTTGGCTGCATGAAACATCAACTGTCATTTACTTTAAAAAAAAAAATTAAGCATTTTGTAACCTTGGCCAGCCAAAAGTAGTTTGCGTTTCCTGTCACACCCCATAGTTCTCCTGTGGACTAGCTGCTTTACAGTTAAGTGAAAGTCAAGGGAGAGGTATTTAATGGAAGGATTTCTGTGAAGTGGGTGCTCTTTTAAAAAGTCTCAAGAAACACAATCTAGACCATTTATAAGAAATCATGACACCATTTGCAAGTTTGAGGGGAGGTTATTTTGGCTTCATGTTCCACAGTAAACTAAGGCATTTCCTTTGCAAAAGGTTGTTCCAGAATCTGCACTCCCTCCCTAAGTTTGTCTCACTTCCTCTTTCTCCGACTCCCCAGGGTGCCGTGTTAACTCCCTCAATGGAGCACACCATGTCACTACAACCCGCATCTATGATCAGCCCTCTGGCCCAGCAGATGAGTCATCTGTCCCTAGGCAGCACCGGAACAGTAGGTGGCAAATTAATATCATGTGTCTCAGCAAACAGAGGAGGGTAAATTAATGCAGCCTGTGTCTTCCTTATCAATTATAGACTCTGTAATGTCAGAGATTATGTCTGATCCCCTCTCTCCTCCCACATTGCCTTTCACATAGTAAGTACTCAGATATTTCTTGATTAATTGATGAACTAAAAGTCTGTCCTCTGGGTATCTATCTGTCTCTCCTTTATCAGAATATAGTATCCATACAAGACCACTTCTAGCCCTAATGACTAGTAGCGTTCATTCACACTGGCAGACCTGGTCTCATGAAACGAAAGATGAAGGTGATTCATGGTAGTCAAGGCAGGGAATTTTTACTCACTTATTTCTTCTTATATGGATTTTGGGGGCACTGAATCACAATCTTAGTATTGACTTATTTCCTCCAAATCCAGGGACTCAGTTGGGAGCTGGGGTTGAACTAATCCCAGATTCACTTCCAGGGTTGATATGTATAGTGTTTAGATGGTCAGATGGCCAGAGGCTTTTAACTGAGACCATATCTATGGTAGCTTAAAAGAACAAAGGGTAGTATTTTCCTGGCTTACATTCCCAGCCAGCAGAAGCAGCTTGTAAAGGCTAAGCCAGGGCCACACACATCCAGTGAGAAACCTCTCCTGCCTTCAGAGAAGGATGGCTGTCGGCATCAGGAAAGCAAGGGTCCATTTCCCATTTTTCAGTGACCTGCTAAAGATGTAATAAGTCATTTACTTCTTGGGTCTCCACCTATGGAAACAATTCTAGATACTGGTTCAGGGGGCTGCTGGAAACTCATGAGGTCCTTTGAGGGAGAGACCTTCTAGAATAAAATAGCACATTAGTGATGCTGAATTACCGAGGACGAGAAACTGTAGTGACCGTCACCCATGGCTCGTCGTTGGCCATGCTGACTGTATTCTTCTTTTCAGTACATGCCTGCCACGTCAGCTGTGCAGGGGGCCTACTTGCCACAGTATACCCACGTGCAGACGCCGGCGGTTCCTGTGGAGGTTGGTATAGACTGTCCAGTGGCCGTTCTGGCAGTGAGTAATTTCAGAAATGGGTTAAATAGAACTCAAAGAAGAATCAGTCGAAAGTCAAACGTTTGCATAAAGAATCGAGTTGAGAGGGAGTCTATGCCTAGAGTTGGTTTCAGCTATGAAATATTCTCTGCATACAAGTTAGTAAACAGCATCCAAGCCACACCCCCAAGACTCCCAGAAATACTGATATTTTCTAGGCTTGTAGCACATTTCATACCCCTTCAAGGCTCTATCTTGTCTCCTGTAAAATGACGCTTACAGGCACATTAAGATAAAGCTGGAATTTGCAATACTAGTACCAAAGATTATATCAGTAATAATAATTACCAAAATTAACTTGTTATCATTAAGATACTTGAAAAAAAATGTTTCAGAACTGTAACAGGGATGAGGAACACACCATACCTGTTTTTATAGAGACTTAGTAGAGCTAAATAACTCTTAGTTCTTGTTATGGAAGATACTGTTATGATATTGATATGGAAGAAGTCTGACATTTGAATCCAAGTTGGGCAGAAAGCATAGTGTTTTCCTGCAAAGTACCCTTGAAATTCCAAGGAAATTCATCAACCCAGTCGATCCCCGCTGCTAGGCAGACCCCATAGGTTCCAATTCCAGAAACAACCATAGGACTGTGGCTGGATTACAGGGGAGGTGAGATGTGTTTTGTTTTGTTTGCTTCTAAATGATTTAAATTTGCGCAGTTATTGATAGCCACAGTTACCAGAACCCCTTATCTGCAATGCTGGAACAAGCAAATCTGAAACGAAAAATTTTCCTTGTAACTACTTTAGCAAAACACCTGACCTGTGATAGAACCCAAGCTGAACTGATGTAAGACAAGATCTTTATCCCATTTACACTGCATATTCATGCCTTTCAGCACAGACCTATTAATGTGTTTGATTATGAGGTACAGCCCTAGACGCCATTGGGTATAGTCTCTGATGTACAGCATATGCATACCATGTTTCAGATTCTAAAATCTGAAAATACGGAATTCCAAGTCACATCTGGCCCCCGAAGGGTAAGAGATTTGTTTGGTAAATTGCAGCTTGATGTGAAGAGGCAACTCATAAAAGTTAAAGGAGGTTCTTTGGGTCTGTCAGACATTTTAACTTCTTAGGGAAATAATTAACTTTGAAGGCTCTATATGACATTAAGAAAATCACTTTTAAGGAGTGCTTGTTTTTAAGATGTGGGACTCAGCCCAACCTGGGTAACAGAGTTTGGATTTCTTTGCTCACATGTCTCATCTGTTCTGCTTTGTTGTAGGAGGCGAGTGGTCAGCAGCAGGTGGCTGTAGAGACGTCTAATGACCATTCTCCATATACCTTTCAACCCAATAAGTAACTGTGAGGTATGAGAGAAAGGTCTCCATCACTATAGAGCTCAAGTCAAGAAAAGTCTATGATTCTTGTATCAAAATGGTACTTTAAACAACTCAGGTCTGGTCACACTGCTTCAGTCATGGCCAGGGAATCCAATGTTACTGAAATGTTAAAATCAGTGATTTTGGGCTTCCCTGGTGGCGCATTGGTTGAGAGTCCGCCTGCCGATGCAGGGGACACGGGTTCATGCCCCGGTCCGGAAAGATCCCACATGCCGCAGAGCGGCTGGGCCCGTGAGCCATGGCCGCTGAGCCTGCGCATCCGGAGCCTGTGCTCCGCAACGGGAGAGGACACAACAGTGAGAGGCCCACGTACTGCACAGTGATTTTGTGGATTTGTAGATGAGTATTTTGTCCAAAAAGAACAGTGCCTCATATTGAAGTCAAATGTATATTTACACTCTCTTCCTCCCTACCCACCCCCCGCCAAAAGATTGGTAACATAATCAGACAATGAAATGCCAGGTACCAAATTTGTCCAACAATACATTTATATATTTTTTTATATTATATATATATATATATATATATATATAAAATATGTAATATATATATTGTTTTAATGCTCACAAACTAAAGGAAATATAAGATTTTGCTTAATCTAGCATTACAAGATTAGCAGTACCTTGACTATGAATCTAATATGACTATCCTTAGATTGAGAGATTGCTCTCCCAGCTCCCACTTGGACCACGGATCTCAAAACGAGTCACTCTGCCATGCAGATTGCAGTAAAACAGCTCTGTGGAACTCAGAGCACCTGGGTTTCTGGATTGCTCTGGTGAAGTATGTTGTAGGTCCCAGATTTGAAAGGTGGGCTCGGGGCATAAAAAGTGACCTCAGTTCCAGAGTTTGCATTTACTGGCCTACCACCAGCAATGAGCAGAGCCTTTCTCAAACACATATCTTTAAAACAAGAAAGAGATGACAAATCTCTGGAATATTACACCAAATGTACAAAAGCATTTTTTTTTTTCTCTTCCAGATGTACAGAAGGGTGTGCTTAAATGAAGAAGGTTGTGAAGGCTGAACAATCATGGATTTTTCTGATCAATTGTGCTTTAGGAAATTATTGACAGTTTTGCACAGGTTCTTGAAAACGTTATTTATAATGAAATCAACTAAAACTATTTTTGCTATAAGTTCTATAAGGTGCATAAAACCCTTAAATTCATCTAGTAGCTGTTCCCCTGAACAGGTTTATTTTAGTAAAAAAAAAAAAAAAAAAAAAAAAAAAAAAAAAAAAAAAAAAAACCAACAAAATACAAAAAGATTTTTATCAAATGTTATGATGCAAAAAAAGAAGAAAAAAAAAAAAGAAAAAAGAAAAAAAGAAAAAGAAAACTTCAATTCTCTGGGTATGCACAAAGACCATGAAGACTTACCCAAGTGCATGACCGGATTCTTGTGGTTTTGTTCATTTTGTGTTTTCGTTTGTGTTTTTTTCAGCTGTATGAAATGGGCTTTCTGATGTTTAAATAGTCCAACTTCACCCCTGGTGTTCTGTGCTTGCAGTGTGAGTGTTGCAGCCAGTGTCTCTTTTCTTAGCTTTCCGTTTTCCTTTCCACGTAGTGTGAAGTGTCTTATCCTTTTCTATGAATTCCAATTTGCCTTAACTCTTTTGATGCTGTAGCTGTTTCAGTAAAAGTTAGTTCAAACTAATGATGTAGAATGCTTTGACCAAATGGGCTGGTCTATTATGCCTTGTAAAACAGCAGCATAGGGCTTTTAAAAGGTAGTCAATAAAAGTTGCTGAAATTTTGGCTTTTTTAAATATGTAGTAGGTGTTTTTAATGATTTTTCACATAATGTGTAAGGTAGTGAAATGCAAGAAGGGAAGACTGTTTTGTGTGAAACACATTTTCTGACTGGGGAACTTTTAATAGGGTAAATTGTTTGTAAGGCTGTACGCCAAGAGTTTCCTCTGATAGTTTGACTGATTTAGGATATCTGCTGTATGATGCAATGTAAAGTCTTTTTTGCCTTTTTTCAGGAAAAAAAAAAAAAAACAAGTAACTTGATGTTCTAGATTTAGTGTAGGTAGCGTAGGGGCAGGGGGTGGGGGGAGGGGAGGGAGTCACCGAATGTTTTGTCCTTCCTTTATACTAACGATAGTGCTTTAGAATGAGAATGACGCCTGAGATCTGGCAAACCGAAAAAAAACCACAAATGTTGCTATTGCAACGAAATGGCAAAAGCTAAAAGTAAGGATTTATCTTCAAACATAAGCTGAGATATGAATAGAAGCGAAACGATTGGCTACTAGCTCTCTCTATCACGTAAATTTGAGAAACAAAAAATTACTTGGCACTTTTAAAGGTAACTTCACCAAAGACCGAAGAGCCAGTAACCAGTAGCTCCAGCTTGTCTCAGCATCACATCTTCTGTGCTCTTTTTTTTTGCCGGACCAGTTTGCGGTTAGGAGAATGTGCCTTTTTTGTACCTTTGGATTTAGGTTTTATAATTTTAATTGATGTATGGACACACACAAACAAACAAAAAAGCATGAAGGAAGATTTGGATCCAAGCAGTGCCACACTTTACATCATCACTACAAGTGTTAAGTGTAAAGAAAAACCAATTTTGAAACTATGAAATTCCTGATTCATAAATACACAGTTATTTCTACTTTAGTACATATAAGATAATTCACTGTTATTAAAGCTCTTTTATTAAGACAATTGCATACGTTTGAAAAGCAATGGTAAATTAAGTTGTCTTCCAAAACTGTGTACTTGTCTGGTCAACTGTGTGTGATCAGTTATCTACCTCAGAGTCTATTTTCTTTTGTGCTGGGACAGGTTGCTGGCCCTCCCTGTTTCCACAGACCAAATCCTTCCTAGCTCAGGAGCTAGGCCTAAGCAGTTATTTCTTTCGAGTATTTTTTAGTTCTTAAAATTTATGCTTGTGTTTGATTATAGATGTCAGTGATATTTCATAGTTTCAAAAGTCCTTGCTGCTCTGAGAAGTGTAGATTCTAGTGAAAATTACATAGTCATAAGAGAAGTGTGTTTTTGTTTTTGTTTTTGTTTCCTTTTTTAAAGTTGTGGTATTATTGGTTCTATGCTCCCTGGAATATTACTGCTTTGTGAAAGTCCAGACTGAACGCAGCACCCTCTTTGTACCTAGTACATTATAAACCTGGGTCTCTCACTACTTGATATTTTTGCATTAGTTAAGACAGAAATTTGATAACTCAGTTAGAGGGGAGGGGAAATCTGCTGCTAGAAATGTCTGAGCTAAGTGCCATACTCGTCTGGGTAAGATTTGGGAAACATAACCTCTGTACATAAAAAAAAGAAAAAAAATCAGTTAAACATCACATAGTAGACAGCCATTAAATTATAAAAAAAATTAATTTATGAAGAAAGACCTTTTGTACAGATTGAAAAAAAAAGATTTTCATAGAGATATCTATATGATCAAGAGAGTTAATTTTTTATTTTTGTTTTACTAGTGCCACAAACTTGCCAGTGGTAACTTATTTGTCCGGTTCAAGATAACTCTGTAGTTTTCTTTCCTAGGACTTGTTGTTAAACGCCAAAAAGACATTTTTGAACTGTACATTTGATCAGATTGTTAGCTTTTTCTGTTTTATTTCTTTTGAGAACCTTTGAATAAAAAACATCTGAAATTTTATTTTTCCTGTCAATTTTTTTTAGATTAGATTCAATGTATATCAGAATTTCATTTCATTTGTGATCTCTTCTTTCAACTCAGTGGATTGGTTTGAAACTGAGTTGAAAATTCAGATTCAATATGTACTCGAAATATATTTCCTTTAAAAGAACTGGAAAAAACCTTCCCACGCTGTTGTTTTTGGTTATTTCAGTTCATGTACAGGGACAAGCATTAGCTCACCATGTTTCCTGTCAGCAAAGTCCACCTTTGGTCTGTTCTTAAACACCAAAGAGCCAGGCCCCTCTCCTTCCTCCTTCCTTACTGCTACCTTTTGACTGTGGCACTGTCATTGCCCAGCAAGGAGGACAGAATAAAAACAGTGTCCCCATCTCTGGGAAACAAGCTCATGGGTAAGGATTTCAAGGTGATCTTATCCCTGCCTTGATGCCTCGGGCCTCCTTTAGTGACCTTGTTTGGCTGTTCCCAGTAGGAGGCTCTGGTGCAGCATTCATGGGGCAGAGACTACAGCTCTCTTTCCCACACTGACATGCTTTATGGGAGGCTCTTAGTACAAGAAATTGACTCTTACCCAAGGTAAATGAAATGTTTCAGTGTAGTTGTAAAGGTTTCTTTTTCTGCTGCCCAGTGGCTCTGTCCTGATGAAAGGAGTGGGCGAGAAGAATATCCATAGCCTCCATTTCTGTATGCCTCCGCCGCAGTGTGGTCGATGGGATATGTGAATTAGATACATGGGGTTTAGAGCATTTACCTTGCCAGAGCCGAGAAAGCCCCAGTACTCACTGGCTCTATGAGAAAAGGGAACCTGGTCCTCTAATGATAACCAGTGCTTCAGAGAGAAAGATGTCGGGGCAGGAGCAAAGTGTAGCTTCACTGAGACGCACGCAGGCTGCCAAGAATGTAAGCTATGTGGCCTCATGTTCGGTCCCAGCCTCACACTGTCCCCATGCTCCTTCACAGGACCACTGACCAGAGGCAGGAAAGAAATACTGCTGGGCACCTTAGGTTTTGTTAACCTTATTTTTGTGGCGGCTTATGTCATTGGAGTCCTGGGACATCCGGGGGCTGTCGTTCACACAGAAACTGATAAACACTTTTTCAGAGCACCTTTTCTGTCTGTGCAACAGGGCTAAGCAAGCCAGAATGCTGATGGATAAAAAAGAGCTGTCGCTCACACATAGAAAGAGGACCTGTGGCACCTTTGGGGAATCAACCCCACCTTGCTGAAATGTTGTGGTTCCTCGGGTCATCGTCAGGGGCCAGGACTCCCTCTTTGAGATGGCCTGGGTCCAAGGATCGGGGAGGAATTCTTGCCTGGAAAAGAGGGAGGAAGCTGGCAGTGACACCCGGGCGTGCACATTTCTCTCTATGTATGGGCTGGGATGAGGGAGAGCAGTAGGTGGACAGGAGCCCCGTTTTCTCCCCACCACCCGTGCCCTTCAAGAGCAGTGGCGGGAGGTACATCCGCTGGAGCATGAATTCCGCCTCCTCTCAAATTTCACAGATGCTGGTTAAAAATTCACTAAGAGAAGGGTAGTGCCTCCCAGCCTGAGGAGGGGCTCAAAAATGTTCAGATCTGACAACGATCGTCTCATTCCACCAGAATAGCCAGAGGAAAAGATGCAGCTGCCTTGGGAGAAAGGTCACAGACCTGTCACCACCACCTTCCTCCACCACCCC